GGTGGTGAAGTGGCTGCAGGCCTCTGTCACATCAGAACAACTCAGACAACAACATCCCTCAGAAATCTCTCAGGGTTGAACTGGATTCCACACAGAACATCAATGATATGCTAGTGGAGCCGCTGCGGGGCTAACTGTTAGCCGTTAGCATCTGTGGTGTGATCTGCTGACAACAGTTCACCCTGATGAAGAGGGTGGAAGAAAAATGTTCTGTTTCAACGAAAACAGGAAACCTCAGAGTGCGACTGCAGAGAAGGAGAACACCAGAAGACCTTGACCAATGTGTCAGGACTCCACCCAAAAAGGAAGACACAAGCAGCAGTGTGAGAGAAAGTGTGTCAACTGAAGGGTCACACCACTCAATGGGATCCCCCGCCTCAGGGTCAGCTGTGTGATACTGTATGTACACACACACACACACACACACAGACACAACAAAATAATCAGCACAGAAGAAACAAGGCTGTGACACACACACACACACACACACACACACACACACACACTGACACCAGTGTGTTCCAGCAGCCTCTGAGCTATGGCTGATTGTCATTTCATAGACACACCACAGCAGCCATCACATGATCTCCATGCTAACCTTGTAGGGCGACAACGCCATAAACACAGATCACATGACCTGAAATGTTATTTTCTTTAAAAAAATGTTGGATACAGTTTTTGTTTCACTAGTATTAAGATTAAAGACTGAATAAAATGGAATTCAATGGGATTCTGAGTGAGAGTTTAAAGATATTAAACAACTGTCTGATACTATTTATTTTTATTTTTACCAAATATATCACAGTACCAGCGACAGCAGCTGCACCAGAACTGACCGTCTCAGGGCTGCAGTCTTTAATACTGACACGTGGACCTGGTCTTCCAAATCCAACTAGGTTTAAATACTAGTATTTAATTATTAACACACAGTATCATACATTTATGCAAGAGAGAGAAGCTAACAGGCTAACAGGCTAACAGGCCAGTGTGTTTTTAATGGGGTGGGGTGGGGGGGGGGGGGGTTCATTTATACTTGACATTTTTTTGAAAAAAAAACATGGGTAGTGGGGACCGTTGTCCTTGTGACGACATCATGCAGGTCCTCACTGAGGGTCGGGGTGGGTTCAAGATTTAGTCTGAAGTTAGGATTGAAATTAGGGTCAGATTAGTGTTGGATGGAGATTAGCTTCACATTTGAAATAGTTGTCAGAGTAACAGGCTGTGGGGTGAATTATGTCAGTATGAAGTGCTACTAGCGGGTGTGTGTGTGCGCGCTCGCGCGCGCGAGTCATTGACAATGAGAGGTTGATGAGGATGAAGATGAGAGTAAAATGATGTCAAATAAAGGGTCGACTTCATCATCATCATCATCATCATCGGTTCATTGCTAAAACGCCGTATTTCCCATCGTCCATCAGTGCACCTGCTACGTAGAAGCCCTCTTCCTCTCTTCCCATCTCATCTTTTCTCCCTCCTTACCCCACCCACCCACACACCCATCCCTCCATCCATCCATCCATCCATCCCATCTCTGCGTGATGCTTCGCTGCCGATGGGAGCTAACGGGGATACCATACATGTGTCACTACGGTCCGGACACCGGCTTACCTAAACCCGCGGGGTCACGGATGGCGGTTGGTCCGTCTTTACAAATTAACGAGTGAGAAAAAAAACCCCGCTGCAAACGGTGTGAATCCCACGGTTAAGAGAGTAGAGAAAAAGAGCGAGAAGCTTCTCTCCCTCTCTCTCTCTCTCTCCAGCCATCATCACCACCCAGCTCACATCAGCAGCCCTCCTGCCCTCAGCGCTGCGGCTCCATCCATCGCTACAATTCAAACCATACCTGTAAATTTCATGTCCGTCCGAAGATACAGGGGAACGGGCAGCCGGTGTCGCGGTCTGTGGCGGCAATCTGACGATTTCCCCGCTGTGTTTATGGTGTATTTTTTCTCTCCTGGTCTTATCTGTCGAGTGATGTTCTGGTTTTGCCGTGGAACCTACCAGTGCTAATCCACCCCACACAAAGAGGAGAAAATGGCTGCAAGTGCATTCTCTTAAAGAGACAGTAACGTCGGAGAGAGAGCGCGCAGTGAGCGACTGATGAGGGGATCGACACTTGTTCATTTTCCTCATTTTAGCTTTAATATTAATTCAAGTTTAAAATAAATAGAGGCTTAAGTGATAAACAAATAGTGCCAGCACACTGCTTATAACCTCATTTATATATATATTTTATAAACAGAATGTGGTACGAACCGAGTTCGTCGAATTCCCAAATACTTCTTTGCGTCTTGTTAATTTTTAAGCGACTAGCTTTGACTGACGTCATTGGTTAGCCTGGCGAGGCGTTTCAGTGTTAGCAGATGCTAATTATCGTATTTAGTTCTGTTACAAAAGTCAAACTGAAAGACCTGGCGTTTATTAAAGAATTCAACACAGTTAAAAGCGATTTTCCTTTTGTTAAAAAATAAAACAAAACTGTAGAAAATATTTTAAACCATGGTCAAAATAAAGTCCGATTCAGCAGCTGCTGTGTTGAAATTCTCCTTCACAGAAAAAAAAGAAAGTGCATTGTCCAGAGACTGGATGCTGCCATATAAAACAACAACAACAAAAATCACATTAGACAAATTATATACAATTGATAAAGCAATAAATTAAATAAATAAAAACATTTCTTCTTTTCTTTTCTACAGGCTGTAGAGTGAGGCCAGTTCATGCAGGAGTTGGGCAAAGGTCGGACGATCATCTGGTTTCTGATGGTGCAAAAAAAAAGGAAGAGAAATTAAATTTAAAAAAGGAAATGTCATGTCTGCGTGTTTTGTGGTCTGAACTGCTCCAGACATTCTGCCCCCACCTCCTTCCAGCACCACTCCATTAGGAGGTAAACAGCATCGGGGGCCAGTCGGGGCTTCAGCAGCCTCAGGCCTGAGTTGAGGGACTCGACCACCTCCGTGTTGGAGCGGTTCTCGTAGGGAAGACGACCTTCATTGTAGACCTCCCACATGAGCACACCTGCTCAGGAGAACACAGACATAAATGTACTGTACACAGACATTCATCATCTAACTATATTTATAGCCTTAAAAACTGTAACTGTTATCCAGAACTGGCCACAACGCTTGTGTTTCCTTGTTTTTCCTATTACAAATGAACATTGACAGGGTTAGAAAGTGAACTTGTTCTACAGAGGACAATCAGGAAACATTATACACAGATTAAACATGTTATATGTTTATAAAAATGTGTACTTCCTGCCTCTTCTTCCTCTGTCTTTGACATGAAGACTCAACATAAATGTGTGATTTGTGCCCGTGACTTGGCATGTGACCCACAACCCCGAGTGTGTGGGTGTAAAGTCAGAACAGTCATATTCTTCTACTTCCTTCCACTATGGAACAAAATGCCAGAAAACACGGAGGAGTCTGGTTTAAAAATTACAAAGTCAACAGAGATGAGGCCAAACCTCAACCTGGAAGTGACACGTGCAGAACCTCAGAGAGATCACTCACGTTAATGAAAACAAGAAATGACAGAAAAATAAAGAGAAAGACTGAGACACACCGAAGGACCAGACATCTGACTTGCTGCTGAACTTGCAGTATCTGATGACCTCTGGAGCAGACCACTTGACAGGGAACTTTGAGCACTGTGAGCTGGTGTACTGATCATCCAGAACAAATCTGCAGCCCACAGAGAGGAGACACGTAAGTGTACGTCACAGTCAGATCCCAAAATTATATACAATGTCAAGGTTCAACAGGACACAGCAGGTTAGAGACGAAGACAAGAATATACTGGGTATATTTATTATTAGTACTGTGTGTAATGTACTACCTGGTCATGCCAAAATCAGACACCTTCACTTCATTGTTCTTTGAAACAAGACAGTTTCTGGCTGCCTGCAGGAGAGAAGAAAAAATAGGAGGAAAAGTTGAGAATATAATTAAAAATAATTTAAAAATCTATATGTTGTTTATTCATATTTATTTATTTAAAGGGTGGTATTTCTTTATAAACAGATGTGTACTTGCACCTCCTGCAGGGGGAACATTTCAAGCCACTTAATGCAAAAGTAGAAAGTTATGGTCAGTTATTTTAGTATGTGTTTGTAGTGTGTCCTTCCCTGGCCTGTAGGTGGTGCCAGTCTTCATCAAAGCCAGGCTGCTAACCCTGTCATATGTCACTGGGCTTCAGCAGATATTTTTAGTTGCATACATTCAAAGTGGTAAAGGAGAACCCAATGGACACAGAGACACCACCAGAGACACTGTGTGCTGGTTTACCAGGTCTCTGTGGATGAAGCCAGAACTCTCCAGGTACGCCATGCCCTCGCTGACGTCCAAACACATGCCCAACATCAGGTCCGGAGACAGACGACCTTTTCTGGTCCTCAGGTAATCTGACAGACAACCGTTCTCCATGAACTCAAACAGGAGGCACATGGGAGAATGTTGGCTACAGATACCAAAGAGCTGGACAAGTTTACTGTGGGACAGCTTCCTGGTTTAAAACACACACACACACACACACACACAGGCGGTGAGTTCAGTTTTGCACCTGTCCAGGATGTGACATCATCATCAGGAACCCACTTACATCATGACTCTGGCCTCTTCTTTAAATTCCTCCTCCGACATGCACTCTTCTTTTATCATCTTCACCGCCACCTTCCTCCCCCTCCACCTCCCCTCCAGCACCAGTCCAAACTGACCGCTGCCCAACTCCTGGCCCAGGTTCAGCTCCTCGGGTTCGACTTCCCACTGATCTGTTGAGAGTCAAACGTCAAGTGTGGTTAAATCAGCTGGAATATTGGCTGAAAACGCTGCTATTAAACCACTAGAGGTCAGCAGAAAACAGCTTTGTTATCGAACTGAACCGACTGGAATATTCCACCTCTAACCTTCCACAGGATCAGCTGACTCCCTGCAGCAGTTTCCGTCCTGAGAGACAGGATGCCTTAAACGTGTTATGAGACCTGTGAGGACATTTACAAACAGAGAGTGAAAATCTAACCAATGGTGTTCCTGTAAATCATCTCTTTTCTCAGCTCAGCTCTTTTTGCTGCCTGTTATGACAGAAACAAACTGTAAAACAACAGTAAATCTTGTCGACTCCTCTCACTGAAGGAAGGTTAAATATGGTTGAGTAGAAAGGAAAAATCTGCATTTTTTGAATTTTTGTTTTTGACGCGTTTGCAGCTGTTGACAGCACATTCTACTGTTTCTTTTTTTTAGTCTTTTATTAGTGAAAAAGCCCTGAGGTTACCTGCTGCGTTGTGTTGATGGTAGAGGATGAGCTCAGGAATGGTGCTGAACAGATACTTCTCTGCCAGGTAGAAGGTATTCTCTCCTGTGTCTGTCTGTCTGATCAGATAATGTTTCACCCGAGGGTTCTTCTCTCCATTAGACCTGAGGTCAAACCAAACTGTTAACTCACTGAGAGTGTACGCTGTCAAATTAGAAATACACATTTACACATTCTCCCTGTATTCTATTTAAAAACTGGAGAACCTTAATGTTACGAATTAGATTTTTCTGATTGCCTAATAATATTTATCAATAATGAATCTGAAACTGGATGATGAAAAATTTTGTGAGGCATCAAAATAAAATTTAAAAAAGAAAAGCTGTTGTTTCATCTTTTATATTTAAATATTTTCTTTTCTTTCCCTCCAAAGACACGTAGGTTTGTGTCAAACATCTAATTGTACTAATATTTAAAGTCATTAAAGTCATTCCAGTGAAATTACCCGGCTGCTTTGGTGAAGACAGACACGGTGTAGACGCCACGCTGCCTCGACTCGCGGACCATGAACGCTCCTTCTTTTCCCTGAAGTGAAAGACAGAAAGAAAGAAAGTGAACTACCACCACTGAACAGAACCAAATGTGACCTCTGTTTGTGAGTGGGGACGGAGCCGTGCTCAGAGGACCTCAGTGGTAACCTTTGCAGCTGGTGGAAGAGAAACCACAGATTGTGATCAGTCTAATCTGTGTGGTCATCCTCAAACAACCCTGGTTTTCTGTTTCTTTTTTGTTTTTTTTTATGTGCTGCAGAGCTCAGAGCTGAGGAGTGAGGGGCTGGGTCTCACCTCCTGCTCACAGACGTTTGGTGTCGGTACAAGGAATTCACACAACAGGAAACCAGACAGATGAAAACCCACTGTCGTTGTGAAACCTTTTTCCTATCTGACATTTTTCTTTCACTGTTGTCATTTGTATTACACCTGTTGTGAAACTGTAGCAAAATCTAAACTGTTGAAAAGAGACAAAAATATATGTGTATGCACAGAGTATGTCTTTATTTGTGTGTACTAATATACAGTATGTACATCTACTGTATGTATACACACACTGCATGTATCTATTACTTTAGCATTTATTTAAATTCATCTTATTTTTTGCTTCCAATGTAGAAAAAATAAAACATGTTTATTTTTGCTTTTGGTCGTTTTTGTGGGTCATTTTAATTTTCTTTTGTTTTTAGTTGTTAAATTAGCCTGTTCTTGTTCCCCTGTATTTGACTGATTCTAAAATATATATATATATATATATAGAATTCAAATAATTGCATTGAAACTTGAAGGCAAAGAATACAAAATAAACCCTGGATAAAATAAAAAACAAAAATATATTTCACCTCATTCATTAACAGCCTCTCTGCTTCCCCTCGTGTTGTGTTTGTGTTGTACCACCTGTGAAAGTAGAAATCAAACACAAAAAATAAATAAATGGAGTGCACAGTGTGCACATGTACGACACAATATCAACTATGAAAAGAAATTAAACTCACTCAAATCTCTCCAAGTTGTTGACCAGTTTTTCTACCACGTAGGCACGAGGCACGAAGCCCACGTTTCTGTGTGGGACGAGACAAATATGACTCGACGTGTTTTTTTGAAGTAAAATCAAACAACTTCAACGCAACTCACCCCAGATTATCCTGCACCGACCACCACTCGGGGTGAGAGCTCTTAATCAGCAGATACTCCTGGTCTTTCTGAAGAGGCAGGTCATCGTCACCCTGTGGGACGTAGTCCTGCAGGGCGATCACCGTCTTCTGTCCCGAGTCAAGCATCTGCTCCCAGTCAAAGACAACAACTGACACGTCATTAACGTAAAAACACTCCAGAGTTGATGAGAAACCTGAAATTAGCCCTCAGCCTGAGAAAGCCGGCTGGAATTATCAGAAGTCAAAAAGCAAAAGCAGTAAAAGGTAACACAGCAAACTAAGACCTGACACCATGGTCTCAGTGGAAGAAAAAAAAAAGACAGAAAAAACATCTGATAGTAAAAAGAATAATATAAATATAGGTACAATTTTACTGTAAAAATATATATAGCAGTGCAAATGTCAATCTGTACAACTGAAATTCTACAGCGATAACAACCACTGAGTTAGAAAGAAATGGAAATTTAAAAATTGTTCAGTGTAAGAACACTTTAAAGTCTGTGTAAACAACTGCACGACTCGACTCCCCACTGATCTGATCTGATAAAATCGTATCGTGAACAAAAAGAAAATCCTCATATCATATCATGTGTTGAGTGTATCGTTCCACCTCTACTTATATCTAAACCAGTACATTCACGACCACAGCACGTCCTGATATTTCAGGCCTGGACTCTCGTACCTCTTCGGCGGGGAGTTCAGGGAGGGGCTTCTTGGAAGCTGCAGAAACATCACAAACAGTTTAAAAAATCTTTAAAAAATGTTTTCAGAAATAATACAAATATCTGTCGATCACTTTTGAGGCTTGCTCGAGGGCATGTGCTTTTACCAAAAACAACAGAGTTGGTAAGAGTACACACCGTATCCCACTGGATCGTAGACGTGACACCCGGTGGCCAGTTTCTCTGTCTGTTGGCAGCATCGCCATTTTCCATCCATCCAGAAGTTGGGGTGATATTTGGGAACCAAGTTGTTGTGTTTGGTCTCTGCATCCGTAGAAAAAGTACGGGGCTCATTAACTGACTTGGTGAAGTACTAACTCACTGGCTCCCAAAGTGGGGGGCGTGGAGTTATACAGGGGCACAGCAGACCAAATTAATTTACTTATTTTTGAGAAGTTTGTAATAAGTATGTAGTGTTAAATCAGTGACAGATCTGTAACTACAGTGATGGTGAAGTTCTTACCTTCTTTGAGGGCTCTGACCCATTTCTGGCGACAATCATTGTCAGGGGCAAATATGTAGAGGTAATAGTTATCATAAAAAACCTGCAGAGACAAATGGAGATGATTGTTTTTAAATGATGAATTTCATCTTCTCTATATTCGTTGTATTTATAAAGTCTGGAGTGAACCTGACCTGAAACGGGTACTTATAGATACACGGTATGGGAACGTCACTACACACGATCTCTGCACACTTAATTCTGGAAAGTTCAATGCAGCCTTTCATCATGGGCTTTTTCTGAAATAAAATTTAAAAAAATATATTTATATATATATATAATTCCTTGTCACAACATCAAACAGATTAGTTTCAGAAATGAAAATGACCTGTGTACCCTGTGTTCGTACGTACCCCTGGACGGCGCTCAGAGTACTTCAGTTCCTTTGTATCCAGCATAAAAAATCTCTCCTTATAATTACAGGGTGAGGTTCTTTTCTTTTGTTGAGATTTTTTGATCATGGTTCCCTTCAGAATCACCCTGGGGTACATGGTAGCAGGAGGAGGCCGAGTGAGAGACACCAACACCGTTACTGGGACGAAGACTGAAATGTTCATGAGAGACAGACAGACAGACAGAGAGAGAGAGAGAGAAAGAGAGAGAGAGGGAGGTGAAAATGGGGGTGGATGTTTGATGTGATACAAACTGTGGCGCTTCCGGTATAAACTTTTTGCACTAAACCACATCCTTACGGCATAAAATGGGCTTCAAGAAAACACACACAGGTTTGTCTAACTATACTTGTTAGGACCAGGCAATGACTTGTATTTGTTTGTACTGAAACCACATTAACCAGTTAACCAACACTAATGAAGACTGGTCTGAATCAAACATTATTAATATTGTAACATTAGTGCAAAGAGTTTCTAATCTTTTTTCATCAGAAAACTTAACTTCTAACTACTTTTGCACTTTGTAGTTTTTCAAATTGTATCCGTTTTCTTTATTGGTTTTACTGTTCGCTTGCACTTCATTTATTATTGCAACGTTCAACTCTCTTCACAGCTAATTATGCTATAAGCTCTTCGCTGAGCAGTAATTCATCTTTGGGGCCAAGTTACTTTATATCCCTGACCCAAATTCAAGACAGTCAACGTGCGCTTGTGTCGTCACGTGAATGATTCAGCCAATGAAGTGAGAGCACCGACGAGCGGTTGTCTTATAGTGGATGTTAGCATGCTCTGAGCGGACGATCCAAATATTCATCTGTCAAATACATTTTTTGACTGGCTGCGATATTAACAAGTTGGAGAGTCGTCTAACAGGTTTGTAAAATAAAAATCGAATCCCTTCGATTTGATGTATTACTGTCTATCCTGAATTCCATTGGACGTTAGCAGCGTTAGCTGTGCAACATCATAGCTAGTTAGCTAATACAACAGCCGGTCTGTCTAAGGGAAAGATGTTTGTCATTATCAAACTTTTCAGTCATGATTACCGATCGTTAATAAAACCGAGTTCTTTGTGACGGTTTTGAGCTGACAGTTGTTACCGTAAATAACACCGGTGTTTTGTTTTGTTTTGTTTGTCACGTCTAGCTTTGAAAATTAGCATGCTAACTGGAGCAGTGGCAGTAATCGAATGGAGCAACAACTCAACATAAATTAAACAATTTGTGTAGTTATGTCGTGATTTTCAGACAAAAATCGAGTTTTGACCGAGTATCTTTGTCCATTGATTAACGCTGTGTGTCTTTATTTTAGGTCGTCATCATGGGCGAACCACAGCAGGTGAGCGCCCTCCCACCTCCACCTATGCAGTACATCAAAGAGTTCACAGATGAAAACATACGTAAGGGTTTGATTCCCAAACCCCCTCCTCCCATCAGAGACAGCTACATGATGTTTGGCAACCAGTTTCAGTGCGACGACATCATCATCCGGCCTCTGGAGAGCCAAGGCATCGAGAGGCTGCATCCTCTGCAGTTTGACCATAAACGTGAGCTGAAGAAGCTCAACATGTCCATTCTGGTGAACTTCTTGGACTTGCTCGACATCCTCATCAAAAGCCCGGGGAGTATAAAGCGTGAAGAGAAGCTGGAGGACCTGAAGCTTCTATTTGTGCACATGCACCATTTAATTAATGAGTACAGGCCACATCAAGCCAGAGAAACACTGCGAGTGATGATGGAGGTTCAGAAGAGACAGAGGCTAGAAACGGCCGAAAGGTTTCAGAAACATTTAGAACGGGTCGTGGAGATGATTCAGGGCTGCCTCTCCTCACTGCCCGATGACCTACCACAGATGGAGGTTCCAGATGACGCTGGCGACACAACACGGAGTTTTTCTGCGCCAAGTGTTGGCTGCTCCTCTGGTCAAGGTTTCAGGCTGAAAAGTGAGCCCATGGATGTGGAGGAGGCTGCAGGTCCACAGGACAAGAGTCTTCCTGCTGCGAAGAAGGAGAAAATGCTGGACAAGGATGCTGCTATGTGTCGTATAATTGATGAAATTGCCTAACTTTCCTGTCTGGGAGCGCAATCTTATACATTTGAAGTATCTATTTGTGAGCTGTAAATATGAGTGCATTTGCAGTACGCAGACCTGCCATCCTGTTTGATACAATGACCTGACTGCCTCCAAGGACGTTCACAGAACCTCGTTATTATGTAGGTCAAATGAGGCAGCAGATTTTTTTTTTTAATAAAAACCATTGGTAAAATAATCACTGTGTTTTTATTATAAAGCAATAAGAAAGTGGCCAGGTTCGATTCCCAGTCAGAGAACAGATATTTTGGCCACTACAGTTTCACCAATCTGGGGTCAATAAAGTTTATAAAATATATCTTTAACTCATTTAAAATCTTTGTTCATGGCTAAAGAAGGTGAGGTTTATTGTATGTAATTAATAAATTGAAATAAATGAAGTCCTACTACATATGCAAAACCTTCAACAGTAACAGTCACTGTTACCTGCCCTTTGTAAAGGCAGTGGTTACATATTTACTCCTCTTCCATAAGAATCCTTTCACAGGGTCACCAGTTCTATAAGAACACCTGGACTTCTAATCTGACCTGGTGTTTTTACAAACAGCTAACAGGGCTTCCTGCAGCTGAGTGACATTTATATTGAAAATACATTCATGTTGTGCTGCACGTCAAATGTCATTTCCTGTCTGAAACTGTTCTCACTCACATAACTCACACTAACTCAAGGTAGAAATAAACACCCTGCTGTAACTGACATGGGTCCTTCTGCACCACAGACCAGTTTGATGCAAGACATTTATGTTAATGAATAATTGAACAAAAGATAGAAGATTAAACTTACCATCACGCCATGAGAACCAGACTGTTTGGTAGTTGAATCAATGGAAGAGATAAAAATGGACCTAGAGGAGACCAACCAGATCATCTGGAAGAGTCAGTTAGTCATAAAAAAAACTAATTGCCGTAGTTCTTCTCCAAGGCCTGTTGTTACCAACCTCTGATTCACATTCTGTCTGGGAAATCTTTAAATGTCATTTATGTGCTAAAAGTTCGATCACTGACTGTACGGCTCCAGGTGAGGAATGTAATGACTGTTAACATTGTATAATTCTAGGACTTCCTGTAACTACAGAAGAGCAGTTCAAGTTAAAGGCATGGACTGAAGGTTGTTGACATGAGAGCTTGAATCGTTCCAGTTTAAAACCTGTCACTTTTTCTTACTGATTACAGAAGAATCCGTTCCTGACGGAACTGACCTGAGATCAGAGATTAGGACTTGTTGGTCATGTGGAGCTGTAGATGATCACTAACAGTGATGTGACTGTTGTGACGGGGTCAACTGTGGAAAGAAAAACAAGACAGAAATGCTAACGTTTAGCATCTGAGGTGCAGGACACTAGAAACACAAACGACACTCAGGAAAATGTGCAGCAGAGCAGCATCATAGAACCGAGTACAAATATAACAGTAAAACTATTATAAATACAATGATATAAACCTTGTAATAATAAAAAAAACAATATAATAATGTAACACTAGAGATCCGTGCAGTGGAATGACAGCTAGCAGGGTGTATTAGACCGGAACCTGGATGAAATGTAATAATAGACGTCATTTAGATAACAACACCTGAGAGTCACATAAGAAATTCAGGAAGTGAAAAGGTGATGACGTCACCCGTCCCTGCAGCAGCTATGTAACCAAACATACAAAGTTTGGATTTTTCTCTTTCTGTCAGTCATTCTTGTATAACATGTCGGTTACACAGATGTTGTAACAGACACTGTTCTGTAGCGTGGCCGTGTGTGGACTGTTGACTGACTGACACATTTTTGACATTTCTCCTCTTTCAGTTCCAAACAGACATGTGGATTTTCAGGCCATAATGTTACATATACAGTGTACGGTGTGGGGTCCCTGTCCTCGATCAACCCCCTCTGTTTACGGTCGTTACCGAACGCACGGAGTCCCTACGTTACACCGACCCCTCAGTCGTGACTCAAACGGTCACCGTTCATGTAAAAACCGACCCTCTAACTCCCACTGCTTGGATTATCTTGAATAACAAAGCAGCGGAGTCTTTGTCGCAGAATTTTTGTTATGAAACTCGACATCTTCTTGTTTCACAACAGGGCGGAACACCTCCCCGTCGTCCAATCGGAATGCGCGAACCCGCGTCAGCTGACCGTAATTTATGTAACGCATTGGTGTAACACAGTGACCCAGCTTTGGGCTTCGGTGTACGTCTGTACCGGAGTCAACATCGGACACGAGTACCGGAAAAAACTGTATTGATGAGCGAATATGGCGAACGGAGCTCGGACTGACGATCGTTTGTTTATCTTTCGCGTGTTTATTTGTTTCATTTGTCCTGCAGTAAAACTTGAGTCTACACTGAAAATGGACAATCACAGCTAACGAGGTAACAAACACTGTTCCAGGTGATCCTACAGGAGCATCTTTTTACATTAGTATCGCAGAACCGGACGCGCGTTTGTTTCGGGACGGAGGCGATAGAAGAGGCGACGCGTTGACGCTATCATCGCCCGTGTGTTTGTGTTATTTAAAGTCCGGTCTTCACACCGCACCGATAAAAAGCATCTTCTCTGTCCCCGGAACCGACATGGCTCTGCTGCTGGACTGCCCGCTTTGTCTCCTCCTGATGACGGAGCCGGTGACCATGTCCTGCGGTCACTCGTTCTGCCGGAGGTGCGTGGTCGGCTGCTACCTCCCGTCCAAGTGCCCGGTGTGCAGAGTGAAGCTGAGGCAGAAGGAAGTCCGGGCGACGAGGAACAACGTCCTGCTCATCAGTGTGGTGGAGAAGTGCTGTCCCGAGGAGAGCAGGCTCAGAAGTCACGTCCAGGACAAGCTCCGAACCAGCGAGTTCACCGAGGCGCTGCGGATCACCACCGAGGGTCTGCACACGGGTAAGAAGACGGGAGCACCATCACACTGTGGTGATGTACACCTCCATCTCTGCAACAGTCACGGTTGATTTAGCATTTTTGTATGTTTGGAATTAATCATGATTAATCCTGATAATCAACAGTCAAACATAACCTCTCTCTCTAAATATAAATGCTGTTGCAGTTATTGATTATTTCTGATGGTTTTCATAAGTAAACGTTGTTAACTTCTAACTACTGTATATTCTGAGCCTGTATTTAGTTGTAAATCAACAATAATCAAAGCGTACCTGGCAGAACGGTTCAGGTTCTCCAACCATGGTTCCACCCTCTCTCTGTTCTCAGTCCCAGATGACCTGGCCCTGAAGTTGTACCGTTCTGAAGCCAACTGTGGTCTGATGAGGTTCTCAGACGCTCTGACCGACCTGGACTACCTCTGCTGCCTTCACCCAAACTGGAGCGAGGTGAGAGACGGGCCAGTTACGGCATCGTGGATGTACTGTAATGTGCTTTAAAATGAGACCCTAACCTTTCATGAAGTGACATCTTCTTCATCACCACCACCATCATCATCATCATCACAGTCTGTCTCCCGTCTGTCTCTGAAGGGCTTTTTCCGTAAAGGTACTGTTCTGATAGAACTGGGTCAGCAGACTGAAGCCCTGATTCAGTTCCACCGCTGTCTGAAACTTCACGCTGACTTTCTGCCTGCAAAGACCCAGATCAAACAGGTATGTTCATGTGACATGTCACTCACCACAGCGTTTACTCTGTCCCAGGGGGTCAAACTCAATATTTATTGAAGAAATTAACTGTAAATGTTTACATTTCCCCTTCCCTCAAGTGATGTAGAATTTATTAGTTTTTTGTTTGTTACAAATTTGTTTGTTATCATGTCTCTCTCTCTCTCTCTCTCCGTCCTTTGGAGTTCTAGTTTAAATGTAAACATTTTTTTTATGAGTCAACAAAAACAACCAAAAATGTATGCGCTGTAGTATCGTACATACATCGCTAATACTATAAATCCCACCAGTATAAAGTGGCAGATTTGATATGTTCTCGTGGGTCAAAAGTGTTTACACCAGGGGCCAGAATTGGCTCACGGGCCTGAGTTTGACACCAAATAACAAGTACGGTACCGACGTTTAAATGTCTGGACTTTTATATTTTTGTGGGGACTTTATCGTTCTACATTTTATGTAGAGAAAGTTGAATATGTTCAACATCAAAGTGTTTTTTCTGGTTTGATCTTCATCTTTTTATGGAATCCTTTTGTGTCGTGACATGAATTCACCATCAGATCCTGGAGGCTGAGGGGGTGACGGTGCCAGAGGACGTGTCCTGTATCCTGCAGGTGGTGTCCGAGTACCTTAAAGAACCGTGTCCAATCACCAGCCTGAGTGGATCACAGGGGCCCACACACACCGAGGGCCTCAAACACACACTGGGGGGAGAAACGGAGAGCAAAGGGAGGAGGGACACACGTCAGGTGGACTGAGTCCTTGTTTCTGTGTGAAGGTGTGAACAGTCATTTGTTACCACAGATGATCAACGTTTGTCTCTTTTGGACTCGAAGGTGAAGCGTGACTCCAGCACCGAGTGCTGCCTCAGCCTCTGCCAAGCTGTTTCCTTCTTGCCTGTTGCTGAGGATGACGAGGAGATGATGATGAGGAAGGAGGACGGACGTGACAGACGTATGCTGCTGCCGCTAACACACACACACACACACACCATGATTTTTGTTGTTTTCAAAAACCTCACATTCTCCAGCCTTTGACCTTAAAGTTTAGATTCAAACTGTTTATTGTCACACAGTAAAAACAGTTTAGTGAAAATGTTACTTTGTCTTCTGTACTACTAGTTCTGCACTGAGCATAAAGATCACAAAGACGTCATTTAAATTTAAAGGAAAGTTCAGTGTGATAGACATGACACTAAACTGGTACTGACTCACTCTCTCCACACTGTTGTGGAGAGAGTGAGTCAATAATGTCGTCATCCTGACTGATATAAGTATGAGTCTAATCCTAATCTGTTCTCTGTTTCAGGTGAAAGTCGTCACTTTACAGAGAAGTCGCTGAGCGTTCTCACTGTGTCAGACTTCGAGTGTCCGCTCTGCATAAGGTCAGTCCTCCAGACGGCGGCTTCACAAATGAAATCACGGTGTGATAACGATGTGGTCACATGTTGTCTGCTGTCGAACGTTTCATCAAGTGGATAATTATGTGTACACAAACAACCACCACTTCACTCTGCAGCACGTCTGGTACTACACGTGTCCGTTTACTGTCTGCAGGCTGTTCTTCGAACCAGTCACCACTCCCTGTGGTCACACCTTCTGTAAGAACTGCATAGAGAGGAGTCTGGACCACAACCTCCGCTGTCCACTCTGCAAACAACCACTACAAGAGGTGAAACACACACACAAACACTCACACATCTTTCACACATCCACCAAGACAACAAAATCTGTGACTAAAATTGTTAAACCGCAATTCATTTCATGATTCATTCAGAGTATTTTCAAAATAAGTTATGAATGAATATTAAATATTTTTAAGTTGTTATTGAATAGATGATCATTTTAATAATACAATCTAATTTATTGACGCCTGTTTTTTTCTCAGCGTCTTCATCTTTCGGTTCACACCTGTTGAATCAGTGTCGGTGTGACGACGTCTGACTGATTTTCTACTTATCTCTTCTCAGTTTCTTAAAAACAGGAAGTACATTCCTACAGTGCTGCTGCAGGACATCATGAACCAACTTTTTCCCTCACAGCTGGCTGAGAGGAAACAAGTCCACGATGCTGAAATGGCTGAACTGTCCAAGTAGGAAACACTCACCACCTCCTCTAACATCTGAACACACTGTAATATTTGTCGCAGTAAATTATTGCCCCCCCCCCCCCCCCCGCAGCCCTAACAAGGACATCCCTGTGTTTGTCTGCACCGTGGCCTATCCTGGGATTTCCTGTCCACTGCACATCTTTGAGCCTCGGTATCGACTAATGATGCGTCGCTGCATGGAGACCGGCACCAAGAAGTTTGGCATGTGCAGCTACGAACACGGCAAAGGGTACGAGGACACACACACACCTGCTGTCTGTCAAACTAGTCCTGGTGTTAGGACCTCAGGGAGACACGGATGTGTCACAGCGACAGGAACAGGCAGTGATCAGTCAGTCAAACAGTTTAGCTACAGCACAGCCTGGTGGCAGAGTGTGGAAAAATAGATCAAGTCAAACTCAGCCTGACGGTGAACAGAGGTGATTCTGCAGAGAGGGTCTGTCAGGTGACATCAGCTGTGGTCCTACGGCTGCTCTTAAATTAGGACTGTAACTGGAACCGTCTTTTATTTTGAAGCTGGAGGCTGCTCTTAAAGAAGCTCCAAAGACCTGAAAGAAAAAAAGAAAAAAAAGAAATGAAGGATTAGTTTGAGAGAAGTTTCGAACCCCTGTGGTAACATAAGCCTTATGTTGTGCACCTCAGGTTTGCAGACTACGGCTGTATTCTGGAGATCCTCAGTCTGGAGCTGCTGCCCGACGGGCGTTCTTATGTGGACACAGTAGGGGGCAGCAGATTCAAAGTGCTGAAGAGAGGACAGAGAGATGGCTACCACACTGCAGATATAGAGTACCTGGAGGACCTGAAGGTGTGTACACAGTACACAGTACACAGTACACACAGCTAAATAAACATTCTACGGAACAACCTTTACACCTCTCTCGTTGTCGTTCTTGTTCTCAGGCTGATGGTACTGAGTTGGAGCTTTTGCAGGGTCTCCATGACAGCGTTTACCAGCAAGCTCAGGAATGGTACCAGAGACTGGGCAGTCGGATCCGTGAACAGATCAACAGACAGTACGGCACCATGCCTGAGAGGGAGGACGACATTCAGGTCAGGGTTTGAACCTCAATATATCGTCTACTGTTTGTTGTAATGGTAGAATTATTTGTCTAGAAAAGTCCAGAGGGTTCTGGTCCAGACCAATTGGTTTTGTTTGGTTCCTGCTGTACTGTACTAACCACGGTTTGTCTTCCAGGCCTCGTCCAATGGTCCGGCCTGGTGCTGGTGGTTACTGTCTGTCCTACAGTTGGACCCAGCTTATCAGACCACCGTCCTGTCCCTGACCTCACTCAAAGACCGCCTAGGACACCTGCGTCTTGTCCTGGAGTACTTCTCTCAGAGCTAGACACCGCGGCCCAGTGGACCAGTGGACCCGCTCCACCGCGGCCCAGTGGACCGGCTCCACCACAGCTGGTTGGTTGTCAAGTTACGGTCACATGGAAGGAGATTGAAACATATATTTGTACCACAGGGACTGGGATCTTCTCTGGACTGTAGAGGGACCGGTTTGAAACCCTCAACTCAGAGCTGACGTTTTCAAAGGCACAAAGATCGTTTTTCATTTGTTTAACTCATTACAGAGGAGTTAAATGAGTTTGGATTTTCACATTTTCTTCCCTGTGTGTTAAAGGCTGTGGAATGACCGCAGGTCTGACCAAAGATCCAAAGAGTTTTGGTCGTTTGATATTTTTAAATGTATAGTTACCGAAAACCAACACTGGGTGTCGCTATTTTACACGAGTAAAATACACCACCGTATCTTAATGGTAAAGTGAATCATTTTAACAGGAATCAACACGGACTATATACCAAGTGAGTAAATCGAACTATTTTGCTAAAATCTCTAGTTGAAGAACAAGGACATTTATTTTACTTTGGTTCCTTCAACTATTTAACAGTTCTGGTCATGGCTGACGTGGTTTGTGCCACTTTACCACTGAGGCGCCAAATACAGTTGAATAGTTCTATTGTCAGACTGAGCAAATAGTACACGTGTCAAAGTAGGAGTATTAAAATACTCGTTTTTAAAAATATATAAAGACCTAAAAAAGACTCGGTGCCAAAGTTTGGACTTGTTTACATGTTGACGTGAACCTTAAAACCTGATGAACAAGTGCATTATTAAATTAGACATTTTAACTACGACTGCATTTTTAATACATTTTACCCGTTTTCATGGACTGTGTCCCTTCACGACTTCACACATCTACGTCTTTAGACGCCCCCTAGTGGAAACTTATTCAAAAGATGCATGGTTTCTATCACCAAATACTGCAATAATAATGTTTAGCCTTAGAAGAATCTTGGGAATGTTTCTTTAACTGATTCATTTATTAGATATGTCAAGTCATGGAGTCAATGCTCTCAGTTGAAATTTGGATTTGAATCTGTTTGATCCACAGGCCACGGCTTTGAACCTCCTCTGAAAATAATGGCAACATTCATTTTTCAGTGCCTTGACATTTACCAGTGTCCCTGCAATTCCTCTAGGGGGCAGGCTGTGGTCCTCACCCCATCACCCTCTCTGTTTATCAACAACAAAATTGACTCTTTTTTTTAACGTTTATCTCCTTAGAATGTTAAATCTGTAATGATGAAATATATGATACACGTGCCATCATGCAGTCCTGTGCAAATGTTTTAGGCGGGTTCATACACATACATGTACATATACTTCCATATACACCTCACACCTCATTTTTGCAGCCTTTGTCTTTTTTGGGTATTTAACACTACTTATTTCTAGTGTGTATTGACTTCATACACCCGTCTAAACATTGACACAGCACTGGATTTCTTCATGCTCGATGAAAACCAAGGTTATGTTTTTACATGATGTAAATATGACCATCAAAGTGTCTGTGCTGGTTTTTAATCCACCTGTTCAAACGCGCCCTCTTGTGTTTACTGTGGCTGCAGCATTAAAGGGAGCGTCGACTGTCCACAGACCTGCCTGTCTGTAGGTCTATGATGACCTCACAGGGTCAGACCTCTGTCCACCTGACGGTCCTGTGTGGTTACGGCCAGTTTCCTGTTGCTGTGGTTGAACTCTAACTTTGATTGAAAGGGATTCAAAGTTGTGTCGAAACGTCCACGCCTCATGAGCCTCTGTCGTCTGTCACTGTACAGATATTTTACTTTGGCCAGTCTTATTTTTGCACAGTGAATTGTTTTTTTCCAAACATCTGTGTTTTGCTTTAAGAACTCTAAGAATCTGCCCTTTAAAGAATAAATGGTGACAAAACTGAACCGAGGTCTGATCTGTTTTTACACACAGATAATCAGGAGATTCAAACACAGCGTTTCAGACATGTATATCAACCAGAAACTCTTTATAAACAACATTAAATGACACGGAGCCTTTTGCATCCATTAGTCGTAGAACTTAATAATCAGAAAACAGAAAAGTCTGTGTCCTCAGTTTATACAGTTTGACTAGTTGCTCTCTGTAGGAGGTCGTAGTCCTGCTGCTCTGAGGAGAAATTTAAATGACACTTATATAAATATATGTAATATAATGACGTAGTTTAAAATGTACTCATCTGATCATTGTTTACTGGGACTGAACACTTACTGTTATTCTTAACATTTCTCTACATCCTGAGAATTCTGAGAAAGAAAGATGCCACCAGAGGGCAGTCTTAGGCCGTGAGAAACAACAGCGCCACAGACGACAACTCACATCACCAACCAAAGGAAGTCTTCTTAGAAAATGCAGTGTTTAGTCATCGTTTCAGAGACACAGAATGGAAGAAAAGTCGATTTTAAAAGAGAATCAGATGAATTATGTCAGAGAATCATGAAGCCAGCAGACAGGAAGCAGGAAGCTTTTCCACACAGCTAAAAGAAGAGAGAGAGAGAAATATAAATATGAGAGGATGTAGAAACCCCCCCCCTCCCCCCCTCATGAATGTGGACAGTGCAGGGTGTGCAGCACAGCCGATGAGACGTGTTTAAAGCCTGAATTCTGTGCAGAGGAAGGAAGCAGATGAAAAGAGTCTTCAGTGACTTCAGCTGGTGGCTGTGATGCAGCTCAGCGTCAACATCAAAGCCCCATTAGGTTTGAGCACTGACACAGCTTCTCTGGACTAAATGGATCCATCAACACGCACCGACTCGCCGCTTTTTATAAGACGGAGTTAGGATGACAGGCGTTTTGTAGGAGTTATCACAAAAGGCTGAGTGTGTGTGTGTGTGTGTGTGTTTGACACGCTGACACTGAAAGGCAAAGTGGCTCAAATCAGTCTCTTTTACCCACACGTGTCTCATCATCTGATGTTTAATGACAGAATGAACGGCTAATGCTAACAGCGCTAACAGACCACATTAACAACGCACGTCTGTAGATTTTTTGGCTGACGTTTTGTTCATGGACACGTTAACCCTTCACTAGACCCTGCTCTACAACAACAACAACAACACGCTGAATGCTCTGTACTTATATAATGTTTTGACTCCACAGATGACAAAAATTAAAATCAGAACTCAGCCAAAAAAATAAATAAAAACTTCAAAATTGAACATCACAACCTGAAGTGTGATAGCAGCTACACAAAGCTTTACACGAAAAGCTGCCAAAAAGGCAGTACATCCTGATGATGTGATGAGCAGGAGGAGTGTGTGTTGGCAAGAATCAGACGATACGATACGTGTCACGATACAGAGGCAACGACACGATATATTGTGATACTACAGTCAAGATGATATATTGAGGTGTTTTTTTCCCCCTAGTGTCTCTGGACTCTGTTCCATCTGAACATCAGTCACTAACTCTGGAACAGAGGGATCTACATTTGGAATCACTAGAGAAGAAAGAAAAGAAGAAGAACATGAACCAACACCAGGAATATTGGACTGGGAATTGGAGAAAAAAAATAATCAATAACCGATGGAGGAGGAGATTGATACGGGATCAGGAGAGGAGATATTGTGATATTTCAGTGGATGGAGATTTTCTTACAGCCCTAGCGACGAGCCCTTGTCACATTAGGACGGATGTGGAGGTTCAGGTGTTGAGGATCTAATGTAGGTGAAGGTGAGATTTAATACTGAGAGCAGGTTTCACTGCTGCAGATTCATTATACACCTGAACGTGTGTGTGTGTGTGTGTGCATAAAAAGCTTTAATGATTTTCCTCATAATTATGGAACGACCCACATGGGGTCTTTCTGAAAATAGTCCAGCCTGCACTGTAATACAACAGTGAGGAAGTCAGAGGACGGGTCTGCAGACGATTGAGGTCCAGAACAAGACGCATGTTCAGAACAGGAGAAAATAATAAGGCTGGTCTTTAAGGAGAAAATGAGAAGAGAGAGACTTTAGGAGAGGATGTTAGGGAAGAGCTCAAGGTGACAAGGTTAATTTGGTAAAAAAAAAAACAAAACAAAAAAAAACTCCAACTTGACACCGTCCAGAGATTGTTCTAGAACCTGTTCTGCACGCGTAGAGAAGTCAAGGCAAGTGAGACGAGGGAGGAGACACTGTTTAAGTGTTTGTGTCCTGAATGACAAGTCATTATTCACGACAAGTTCAGATGCAGCGAGGGAAGTGGGGATGTGGAAATATGTGATGAAAGAATAAAAGAAAAAAAAGAGATGATGTGAGGAGGAGGAGGAGGAATCAGACAGAATGGATGGAGCAGCCACAGACAGAGGCGTCACCGTCATTTGATAAATGTGTCCATTTCAGTAAATACAGTCATCACTTCATTGTATTTTCATTTCACCACCTGCTCATCACTATTTTCCCTTTGGCAAAGTCAAGACGGCAGCCTCACAGGAGAGCACGTCCCACGGCTGCCGAGCAGAGGAAGGAGGAGGAGAAGAAAGAAGTCTGAAAGGAAGTCCAGAGAGAGAGAGAGAGAGAGAGAGAGAAAGAGAGAGAGAGAGAAGAAGATGTTTTTTTTAAATCAGTCGACAAGAACGGACTTTAAACTGATGACATTTACAACTAATTCAACAATGTTTCTACACTGATCCATCACTGGGCTGAAGCTAACTGGAGCTAACACAACATGTCTTCACCGTCCTTGGTGATCACACCATGTCAAGGCAACAGCATCACTGATGAGAGGAGAGAGTTTTAATCTGGCATTTGTCAGATTATAAAAAAGTCAATTTCTACAGTTAGAGAGTTTTAAACTCTCGCTGCAGTTTTCTTAGGTTCCAGACGTGGAACCGTCATCATGTGTGATAGAACGTAGCCTCAAAGTCTGTGACGAACGGCAGGCCCCGGAGTCCGTGTGGCCACCCTACGGTACTGCAGTAATGATGACCTGCATCAGTGAACCACCGTTGTCTCAGTTTGAACACCACCGTTCCACTTACAGCACAGTCGGAACACCGTGAAAACACTGGATCTACTGCAACTGGAAGCAATTCATCAGGTTAACAAGACGTGAAGGTGTGTGTGAGCCCGGAGTGTGACGCTGCACTGGTGACTCTGTGGCTAAAAACATGAACACGGTTACACTCCTGTCCACATTCACAGGGAATTTTCCCCAGAGTTCTTAACTCCGACTTTCTTCTGCCTGAACATCACACTTGAACAGTAGCATACGCTAACGTGCACACGAGCATGTGTGTGTGTGTGTGTGCGCGTGCATAGTTGTTTCCTGCGAGAGATTTGCAGAGCGGTGAACGGAGCAGAGGATTTGTGTCGTCGTTGAACACACGGGGAGAGGAGTGTGTGCCTTGACAGCAGCATTGACAGATTGTATGAATAATTTAGGAACAAAGTGAGAGGCCTCATAGACCCCTGAATCACCACAGAATGACAGCTGCCTCCTCTGACTTTGGCTCCGCTCTCATCTTTTTAATGCATATTATTTCCATAAATTCCTGTCCTTACATCCTTAAGCTCTAATCGGAGGTTAAGGGCAGAACACCAAATCTATCGCCCCCCCCCCTCTGCCAGGACTCCACCGCTCCACACCGTTAGTCCCTTCTGCTGGTGTGACTGCCTCATGTTTAGCCACCTTTCTCCTGCCTCACCACCTCAGTCTAGGTGGAGGACCGTATTCTCCGACTGACCTCAGAGCAGCTTCTGTCTTAATAAATCACCGTCCAGTCGCTCATCCTGTCTGTGTCTGCGCTCAACACAAAATATAAAACTGTCACAGACTCTCTGACATGAGAACAAAAACTCTGCTCTCAGAGATGGGTGGGTGGTCGAGGGGGGGGACGAGGATGGAGGCAGGATGACAACACAGCCAGGACGGTTCACAGTGAAGTGCTTTACTGTCACGGGTGAATATACAGGGAGGAGGTTTACAGAACCTGGGACGGTGGGAGAGACCCTCACCACGTCAGCGTCTAGAACACCGTCACAGTCAGCCTCACTGACAGTCGGACTGAAGACTGACACTGAGAACGCTGTTGATGACAGAGGCAAAAAGAAGAGGAGACTGGAGGAGAGGACACGATCAAAAACAGCTCACTGCAATGCAGAGGTGGAACCCAGTACTACAGGAATACACTGTAGTACTACAGGAATATACTGTAGTACTGGTACTGGTCAAGATTATTCTGGGATGTTTGTCAGGTCAAGTCATTTATAAAATTATTTTAACACTATATTAATTCACACTACAGCAGTATAACATGACGACCAACCATTCACACTCACATTCACAACGATGTTAGTTCAAAGTGAACAATTAACCTAATTTCCGCTGTGCATAGTTTTGGACGGAAACTGGAGTAAACTGGAAAAAACTGGAGTAAACTGGAGAACTTCAACCTAAATATTTATCTTATCTTTTGTTATTTTTATTTTCTGACTCGGCTAATATAATGGTATAAAAATACCAAAGTTAACCACTTTTATTTTAAACTTTAACCACCACAATGAATTCTGACACACACGCTTTTGTTTTACGTCATTTTCACGAGACATTTGACTCACCGGTTTGCCGCGGCGGTTGGTTTTTTTTTTATCGAGTTCAGCACAGGTTTCGGTCTTCGGTTCTTTATTGTCAGACTGTCGTGTCGTGTCACGGAAGAATGAGTAACCGAGACAAATTTCCGCCATTGACTCGTAGTGTCCACATATCCTAACCGATGTATTAGCAGCGGCCCAAACTGTCGTACATCGACAGAAACTGTCGTACATATTCACTTTGACATGATTGAAGACCACAATAATAAGGGACGTTTAACCAACAGAACAAGCGGCGCGCTCTTTATTTACGTCATACGTCACCATTTGTTACGTCGTTCCTTGATTGGCTAACAATTGCAGTGTTTATGTAGCCTGTTGTGCTAATGGTTTTACTTCGATATGGAATAAAGGGCTCACGTTATTGTATATTGTGTTTTTTATTTTGGGATAATCGATCGCAAAGAGTAAAATTACGTTATAATATGACGATTATCATACCGGTAACACTGATCCCAACATTTAATAAATCATTTCCAGGAGGTAACGCCCCCCTCAGAGAAGAGCTGTAAAAACAACCGATAAAATAACTGTTGTTTTTTTTTACTTCACTTGTATAATTAACTGTATCTTAAAATACATTTTCATATATGTTGGTTATGTTTTTTCCAGTGTGGGGCGAGCATTTAAAAAGAACAGCATTAAAGTTCCAACCCCACTGTTGGACACAGGTGTCTCAGTGGGTTTGATGGAATGTCCACATTCCTGTTTGTCTCCAAACTGTCTCCAAACTGTCTCCACACACACTCAACTGAATTAGGAAAACTCTGGCATCACCAGAGCGTCCTGGATGTTGGGGGACTTTTCGGGAACGCTGTTTGCAGTTTGTTGCCCAGAGTCACAGCCCAGAGACGTACAGTGAATAAAACACACACTGTCACATACAGAAAAAGAAGCTGGCTGTAATCTGCAGCCCCCCCACATTCACTCCACCCCTTTTTTTTTTTGAAAGAGGAAGTTGGAGTTTTATTAGCGTTGGTGGCCTGTGATTGTGTTTTAATGAGAGAATGACTGCGGTGGGGAGATAAGGCGCCCAGTTCAGGCTGAGAGCTCCTTGGTGGGATTAGAATAATCATCCAAAAACGCTGTGTCTTTAAAAAAAACACACACACAAAGCAGCAGGTTTGCTGCTGCCACCCTCCACCTCTCCACCCCCCCCCCCCCCCCCCAACGCCAGTTGGCCAATTGACATTCCAGGATGATGGAGCACTGCTCGCAGTAGAATGTGACATTTCCTCCCGTCACTGTCTGCACCAAGCCAAATGTGTGGTTTCACAGATTAGAGAAGAGCAGGGAGGAAACGCAAGACGAGGGGAGGAGACGGGGTAAACACGGGGCAGATGTGAGAGCGGCCAGACCAAGGGAGGATTGGGTTTTAAATTCTGGAATAAAACTCATCATAATAAGGCGTTTGCATCAGGAATCAGGAGTCAAGGAGATCCTAGATCCACTGACACTGGGAATGAAGTATTCCCAATGAAATCTTCCCCGTCACACACACACACACACAGTAAAACTGCAGCCGCTCCAGGACCAGGACTGAACTGGATTATTTCATAATCCTCTGTGGGAAGACTCTGAATCTCTCCAGGTCGTAAAAAAGGACTCAGTGGAGAAACGATGAAGACAAAGGCTGATCGAGTGACGATGAAAATGAAGACGACACATTTTTACCACAAAAAAAACAAAACAGAAACAACTGAAACCTTCAAAGTAGAAACTGTCACATGATCTTGACCTTTGACCTCAGATGTTGCCCCGGAAACATCTCTGCATTTATGCGAGTGTTTCTATGTGAAAATGTGTTTTTGGGAAATAAATGTAACTGAATTTAAAAGAACTGGTGTTTCAGTGAAAACTCACTAGTTTAACTAGTTTAACTAGTGATGCACTGATACTGAGGCGTTTGTTGGTTTGTTTGTTGAACCATAGAAGTGGTTCTTCACAGTGACAAGTATCAGGAACGGTACATGGTATCAGTGAGTACACACATAAATATAAATACTCACTCTGGTATCAGCACGACCCAGTTATTAAACATGACATTTTCCACCAGGTGAACGTGTCTCACCAGTCAGTGTTCGGCAGCAGCTCCGAATCCTGACGACATGTCATAAATGCCAGGGTGAAAATGAGCTTTGAAACGACAGAACCAGGACAGAGTCGTACGTCGACTCAGTTCTTCCAGAACTCTCTCTCATCTACTGCTCTGGAAATTGCAGTTTAAGCCAGAGCAGCTAATCTGAGCGGCGGCGTGTGTGTGTGTGTGTGTGTGTGTGTACAGCCGCTGACACACATATCACATATTATGTGCTCACAGAGAGATAAAGAGGGAGAGTGGGGGAGTGGGGGAGAGTGAATTGTGTCTACGGGGAGTAAGGATTATGTTTCTCTGCTGTCATGTGTTCTGACATTCCACGTTATTAAACCTCAGCTTCCTGAGCTCAGGGTTCACTGATTACTCCGACTGGGATAAATCCCCGGGAAATTTACGGCTCTTCTTCACACTGTGTTGTCATTGAGTTTCCACTAGACTTCACACTTCACCTACAGATTACAGGCACATACACCCCCCCAACCCCCCACTCATATTCAGACATCCAATAACATGCAGTAGACTGAGAGCACAGTTACTGTAGTGTCGTATTAAGGCATGGCCTCAGGGAACAGACTTCAGGTTCTTCTAAATATATGTTGTAATAGAACACTTAAAGGAAGTGGTTTCAGTCCTTGGACCAGATGAAGAAGCAGGCAGTGACCTGGTGTCAAAGGTCATCATCATCATCATCATCAGAATTCTCTGATGGAAACACCACTGAAGAAGAGACAAGATTGAATCGGAGGAGATTTAGGATTTTTATAAATAAAGAATTTCAGTCCAAACTTCTGAACGAGCTTTAAGTTAATTTAAGCTAAATTTTAAAAATATATTATTTTTATTTTTACTGTAATTGAAATATTGTCTGACGTGGCTACAGCGTCATTGTTTAATGAAATCAGTCGACGACAACATGGGTTCAGATGCTGCGTGTTTGAGCTGAATGCTGATTGGTTCAGGCCCAGACTATAAACGTCTTCGCAGTCACTTCTCCCAGATTCACTCTCTCGTGGTTTCAGTCAGTAACGGTGTTCTGAGGAGAGCACCATGAACTTTGTTGTTGTTTCTCCTCCTGGCATTTGAGCCGCGCTCCTGCAAACAGGAGGAGAAAGGCAATCAATAACGGAGGAGACGCTGCCGCCAGCTGGTGTTGGGATGAAGTCCAGCCTCACAGCCATCAGATCGGAAACATTTGCTCCTCTTTGGAAGAGCTTGAGTGAACCGCTGTAGTCTGCAGATTAATGAAAGAGTCCAGCAGCCTGAAAACACACCGGACGCACGCAGCTTAGTGGAAGATTTCCTGTCTTTTGTCAGTTTTTTTTTTTTTACCTGTCAACCTTCCTGTCTTATCGGCTGTCTGTACTCCACAGAGGAGCAGCTGAAGGCGGTGGCTGTGCACATCTCAGAGTGCAAGTTTTATATGAGTGAAGACGTGTACACAGCAGCCTACAGAAACGCTGTGAGATAGAGTTCCTATTCAATATCATGTCGTACCATCATCTGTCATCCAACCAGCCCCGCAGCCATTTGTCTGCGGCTGAGTGACAGACTCTCTCAGAGCATCAGATCTGGAGACAGCGTCTAATGACACGACCAGACGGTGGAGAATTCTCCCCAGGACAATTTCTGAAAACATACTGTGAATTATATATTTTTATACACTACATATATATATATATATATACTCCTATATAGAATCCTGGTCAGCACATCAAATCTGATCAAGTGCAACCCTGGGGCAACATGAGAGACCTGCACCCACTGAGCCACAGCCACAGTCAGGCAGCAGTGAAGACAGAGGTAGAATGATCAAAAAAGGAAGGGTCCAACTCCCAGAGGGCAACACTGCAGAACCGAATACCTGGGGAACCCACAGGCAAATCAACCAGAGGTCAACCAGGGGTCACGAGGAAATCAGTCAAATATCCACAGAGAGGGAGAGACTGGTGTGGGTCTTGTTAGAACGGCACAACAGCGACCCCTACGGGTTTGACTTGGATCCCAGTCCCGCCAAGACTCACATTAAAAATTACATTCATTTGACCTGATTTGCGCCCTCCCCCCATTGCAAATAACTCTGCACCCCCCCAAACATCTCTCACCCCCTGCAGTACAGCAGACTGACCACATGTCCTCCACTCGACAAAGACCTGAGTGTGAAAGCAGATGTTAAACAGATGTTCTCTGACGGAGCAGCTGACCCTGTCATCACACCATCCACACACCTGTCTGTCTGCAAACAGGACGACAACAGGGTCAGACCCCCCCTCGCATCCCCCCACCCCACCCCCCCGCCTGGGCCGGTGCAACAGAGGCAACTGGAAGGTGGCAGAGGTGTTAATGAAAAAGAAGAAAATCAACGCTGTATTCAATTAGACTCATCCAGGAGTCAGTTATTATGTTGCAGAAGTAGGAATACAGTACATATATACATATACATACATATACAAATATACTATATATATGTGTGTATATACATATATACTATATATGTGTATATATATATATGCATATATACACATATGTATATATATACTATATATACAGTATGTATGTAAATATATATGTATATACAGTATATACATATATATACAGTATGTATGTAAATATATATGTATATACAGTATATACATATATATACAGTATGTATGTAAATATATATGTATATACAGTATATACATATATATACAGTATGTATGTATGTGTGCGTATACACAGTGAGTCCAGTCTGACTCTGACTGTGAGACAGCTGACGTGTTCAGGTTTAATTTTAGAGGAGAACTAATTACTGTGGTCCACTCCGGGGGACAGGACCTGAATCTCGGGGGTGTCAGATCAGATCAGATCAGATCAGTCTTCAGGTCCACAGTGTCATCCGGCTCGTTTCACCTGCTGTAACGAACTCCTCGACACACACTGCGTTATCCATAAAACACTGTTATTTTTACACCTCTGATTTTTAAGACTAAACAAACGACCACAGGTTGATGTTCACCTGAACGGTCGCTCCATGATGAGACTGTGATCTATTTGACCTTGACGACGACCTTTAGGTTAAAACACAGACTGACTGAGGTCATTTTTTCTGTATTATTCTCTCATTCCTACAAACCTGCAGGCAGTGATCCCTGGAACCTCAGGTCTAATTCCTCCTTTGTTTGGTCAGAAAGACATTATTTATATAAAGTATTTTCCAACACTGTGTTTAGAAAAGAAATTCAAATCCTTGTATTCATCTTTATTTTATTATTTTTAAAA